TTCTGACCATGAGAAAACAAGCAAATAGAAATGTTGTAGTGACTACAGTGCGGTACAAAGAGGAAATAAAAGAACTGTCATAGATAAAGAAACCTATACTGAAGTTTACGTTGATAAGCATGGATATATTTTGATGTCAGAAAAGGAGAACCTTTAGGATATCACTGTGTGGATTTCAAATGTGACAGTGGCTTCTGTTTTCTTTGAAAATTCTAGAGGAAAGCCTGTTTCCAAATGTTCAGTCTTAGCTTAGGAACCACTTGAAACCGTATAGGAACCCTTTACCTTGTGGAGTATTAAAGCGTTTTTCTCGGTAGTGTCACAGGCAGGTTTTGAGTTGCATGTCCTTGTATCAGTGAGGGAAGGAGTGCACAACTCTGAAAGAAAACTGTAAGAACATTGCTATAGTTTATAAGATATTTCTTCAGCCAATTTTAGCAGTTCAAATTAATTGGGCTTTAAAGATTTAGGTGTTGATTTTAGAAATATAAAATAACATCGTTGAGAGACCAGAACAAATATATATATCCTTGTGAATCACAGTTGTTTCTGTAAAGTATGTGCGAGTTGTTTATAAGACACCTAGATAAATATGTAGGCACACAAACTAGATTAGGATGTTTTCATATGTGACTGTCTTCTCACATTTTGGGTCTAAGCAATAATTTTAAGGCTTCAAATTTAGTATCGCATTAAGAGAAATGAGATGGAGGCAGCACTTCTGCCAATGCTGTGGTTTCAGTCCCATAATAAACTGGCATAGTGATTTACACAGAGAACAAAAGAAATAGTTTAGAAATTTATTTCTAATGGAAGTCTAAGTTTTGAAGAACACAGAGACATCTGAAAAGTGAAATTCACAGATTTTTCATGCTTGCAGGTTTTTATAGCCTCTGGTAATGCATGTCCTTACTCTGACACCACATGTATGTGAAAAAATGGATGTCATATTTAAAGATGTCTTTTGACAAAGAAAGTATTTCCATCTCCAGAGGTGAGATTTACTTTTAAAGGATGATGAGCAGGTTCCAGATGTGTTTTTCAATCTTTGGGCTTTCCTTTCCTTAAGTATTGACAGAGGGAAGGTTTTATCAAGGTCTTTGTGATGTGCTTGTTTATAGAGAGTAGACATTAGTAGAGCACATCTAAGTGCTTATCGCTAACAGATGACTAAAGAGAGCATATGGCAGGGAAAGAAAATATAAATTTGTCTAAGCAATGTGGCTTGTTACCACTCCCACACTCATAAACTGTGTTTACATGTACTTACAATAGTTTGCAAATCCCTTTTCTAATCAGCTAAAAATAAAAACCAAATAATGATTTTTTTTTCCAATATTGGAATGTCAGGCAAAGTTCATTTAGAGTTTTTTAACAGAGCAATTAAACAGTATGAAAGATTCTTAGAGTATTTGTTTTGCTTCAGCATGACATCTTTACAGTAGCATATGTATTATATTCATATCACAGTGTTAAAACTTTTATTGTTACAGAATGCTTTTTGGTTCACTCACCTATCTATCCAAGCGTAACTATTATACAACTAGGTTACACTACAAGCAGCAATACAGGTCAAAACGACCTGTGTGAAATCCTGGTCTAAATCAGGTCGCAAGGTTTATTTTGACCATAAGACTTCCTTCTGCTTCTATAGGATGAAATCATCTCTCAAGTTACAACATCTGCCAAGACAGTTTGTAAGCAATTAAAGTCTCTGAACTGTTAACCCGGTCCAGCTCCCATTAGAGTAAAAAAATTAGTCTTGCTACTAATTTAATTTAGGAGGTGGATGGAAAAATGGTGGGGAAATTTGTAAAGCTCTTGACATACAGAGTTTCTGATGATCCCTGTGATCAGGAGTATCCTTTTCATAATGGACAGAACACAGTATCACTGTCTTCTCTTGCTGTGACATCTAAATGTGCCAGTCTATTCATATAGCATTATTAGAAAGAATACAATTACAAAGATGGATTTGGACTGTTACATACTTTTCAGAAGAAAGCATTTATAAAGAAAACTGCACAGAAGAGGTGCATTTACTTTTGATTTTCAGAATATTCTTAGCAATTTTTCGTTAAATATTTACATCTGGATCCAAGTATTGTCCTTCATAAAACAGTTTATTCTTGCAATTTAGCTTCATTAAAGTCATAATACTGCTTTAGAATGTGATAGACTAGTGCTGTGGGATTGAATTATAAAGAATGAATTATTGAATTATAAAGAATGAATTATTGAATTATAAAGAATGAATTATTTTAGCTACCGGAGATAATTGACCCTATAATTCCTATCACCCCTAATCCCAGTTCAAATGAACCAGTGTTGAAAGAGGCAATACTCACAATGTAGACAAGGTCATGACAGCTAGAATTGTTTTTTACTACCAGTTAGATTTCCCACTTGGTGCATTTGACTAATGTTGTCATAGAAAGGGATTTCAGGCATGGAAATACAGTTTCTTTAGAGGCACACAGGCACTGGAACTGATGGGCAGTTTGCTGTACATTTCCTGGTGTACAGAATCAGAATGCAATTGAGTGCTGACCCCTAAAATTTGAATTCACATGGGCATGGAGAACATGTTTTCATAGAATCATAGAATCATTATGGTTGGAAAAGACCTCAAGAATCATCAACCCACACCACCTAATCCACTAAACCATGTTCCTAAGCACCACATCTACGCGTTTCTTGAACACCTCCAGGGATGGTGACTCCACCACTTCCCTGGGCAGCCTGTTCCAGGCTGTTTTGATCCACGATAGAGCTAGGAGCAAGCTAATTAATTTGAATCTGTAAGTAAACTTTCTTGAAATTCAACAATGTTGGGTCTGTCAGGTTTGGGACTGTCTCTTGGGGTAATACTACATCTGAGGTGTATTTCCGATGAGGAATCAGAAAAAAGTTAGGTACTGACTGAACAGAGAGTTGTTCAAAAACAAATCATGTTGATATTTAGCTGCAAATGGCATGGAGGTTTAAAAAAAAAAAAAAAAAAAAAACCAAGGAAGAGATAAATGGATTTTAAGTATGATATATCTTAAAAATTCCCTCAAGTGATAGTGCCAACTTCAAACATATTAGCATAAGGACTCCTGCGAAAAAACAACAGAACAACAATAATTTGCATAGCATGTTCAGCATAAGATTACTTTTCACATTGTTACTAGTTATCCATCAGCATTCTTCCAAGCATTTGCAGATTTGAGTTTTTGCAGTAAGCTGAAACTGCATGATAAAAAGAGACAGATAATGTTAAAAAGCAGATATATACGCAAGCCTAGCTAGAAGGAGCAAAATATACTATTACTGCCCCTCCTGTGAAGTTAATCCTATTTCTTTTAGCTATTTCTTCATTAGTTAATGAGGTCTTGAGAAAAAAAAAATAAAGTGTGTTTGAAATGGTGTTTTTGCATCCTTGCCTTTAGGAACTTTTTCAAATATTCATAGAATAGTTTGCCCTTGGAAGATGCATTAAGTGCGAGTTTAGGCAATAATTACTTCAAATGTGGGTGGTCAGAAACCTGCAACTGCAATGGACAAACACAGCAGCTAATCACTTTCCTCATTCAGATTCACCACACTGGCTCAAGTTGAAATGTAAAACAGTGGAGAAAGGAGATATTTTAATGATTAGGTTAAAAAAAAAGAAATAAACTTCAAGGCTTAGATCACAGATCTGCTAGCATGAATTAGATTTGAATTTGGATGCACTTTGTGGTTTGCAATCTTATTAATTAAAGATTTTCTTCTCTCTCTTTTTCTATTAACAAACAAACTCAAATTAGAAGCAAAGAGTTTGGCTGCCTTCTCTGTGAGATGTGTATCAGTGACATATAACTACATCCCATCTCTGTCACCTCCTCTGCTGCACTTGGTACCAGCCAACATCTCTGTTGACCTCTGGGCAGTGAGCCTGGGATCTCAGTGAAAGGGGCCCCCATCTCCTGAAAGCTTTCTCTTCATGTTGATGTTTTAACACACTCTAAGGGTGAAAATCTGGGAGAGCCTGCCTGTTCTTATGACTGTCTTATCCATAACTACAGGAAATGCAGTTTCCATTTTTTTGTTTGATATTTGGTATCAGTGCTGTATTTATATTATTTTATTGAAAAAAAAAAACAAACCACCTTTATTTATCTACAGAACTACTGAAGGAATGAAAGTGGAGGTAGGGGATTATTCTTTTCGCAGAGTTTCAACTTACTCCACTTCAGGCAGCATTCTCAGAATTTCACTCTCCAGGGGTACAATGGGATCTACCAGACATCTTCTGGCTTTATCTTGTGAATAGGGCAAGAAACCGTCTGTCCCCAGAGCTCTCCATACATGCACAGTGGACTATGCAAAGGCGTTACATGTCTACCAGCTCTTAAAAAGCTTGCTAGTGGATGCAAGAAGAGCATCCTGCAGCTGAGATCACTGATCACTTCTAGGCTGTTGCTTCTCAAATTGCCAACCACAAAGAAGTAATTCAAGGCTGTGAGCAGTGTCTCCATGGTGTAGATGACTAGCAATTCGATTAAATCCATTCTGAAAAAAGTTTCAAAACTGCAGATCTTTTTGTCTCATATTCAGTCTCCAAATGTTACAAAAAATAATATTTTATTAATTTGTACCTTCATTATTTCAGTTTTATACACCTTTCTCATTTCTTCTGTTGAATTTATAGTTTGTTTTTTTTTTTCTTCTCTTTTTCTGTAACAGCCACCACAACAAAACTCAATAGTATAGGAGTTCTGAGTTTTTAGTTTGACTAATGTGAAGCATTTGCCTGTTATGTTCTTGTCTTCTTTTTTGCCACGAGGACATATAGGACATGTTGACAGCCAATATTAATAAGCTTAACACTAATGGTGGCAGTTACTTAGTACAATTTTTAGCTGTGTTAAGTGGTCTGTAGGGAATAGTAATGCTATCCTTTAAAAGAAACTGATGTCACAGTTGCATTCAGAATTCACTGGGGTTTCTTTTATTGTTTTTATTTTCCAGGTGATTCATATCACAGGCCGGTTACGTCTGAGAGTGTCACTGTCCCACGGACGGACAGTACCCAGCCAAATCATGGGACTTGTTGTCGTTGCTCATGCTTTGCCACCTCCTACAATTAATGAAGTCAGGATTGACTGCCACATGTTTGTCACTCGTGTGAATATGGACCTCAATATCATTTACTGTGAAAATAGGTACAGCTTTTAGCTCCTTTTTTCTTTGTTTTAGCTGTGGGTATTCTTTGTTCCATGGGCTTGCCAAAAAGTTTTTAAATTTGTGACTCCTGCAATGTCATACTGGTGTTGTATGAGACCATTAAATTCACTCTCGTCATCATCACCTTAATTTTTGTTGCATTCTTAGAGGATAAAGGTAAATTAAAAATTGTAATTTGGAGGACATATTACTGGAATAGGGCAGGATAGACCAGGAAAGATTCCTCTAAGCTTTCCCTGCTTTTTACAATCTCTCACCATCCTTCTCAGAGGCAAGATTTGGGAATAGACAGACGCTGGTCTGACCTGTATGGCTGTCCTTATGCTCCCTCATCTTCCCCTCCACAAGTCTTTCTGCCTGAATTTTTAAAGTTTTCCATTTTTTAACTAATTTGCAGATTACAGCACATCATGCTCAGTGTTTAAAGGAACAGAAGCACAGATGGCCTAGATAGTAGGCTAGAGAGGTGGGATCTGTTGCAATACGAGGTGGGAAAACTTTAGAATAAAATTGGTTAAGGGCATACTGGGATAGACAGCAGTGAAATGGGAACAGTTGATGAGGAGTTGGTTGAGGGGAGGCTGTGTGTGATGTGGTAGGGACAAGTGAGCTAGGAAGGTGGAAGATAGGATTTAAGATAGGGTAAGATAGCTGCTACTCCCTGGGGACTGGGCACCAGTAGCGTCAAGGGCTCCTCATGGGGGTCTGTCAGGACAGGGCCTGGCAGCCAGTACCCGTCCCACCACCCCATCCAGGAGCAGGGCAGCGGGGGGGCACCATGGCTGCCCCAGCCCCAGGCATTAGGCACCTCCCTGGGGACAGGCCAAGGCCGGGCCGGGATGTGGGGAGCTGGAGACCAGCCCTGCTGCAGCATCGCTGGGGTAGGGGCTGGTGGCCCCGGGGTTCTGACATGGGGTCCTGGGCCACGGGCAGGGTGGGGGGAGCCCCGGGAGGCTGAAATGGAGTCCTGTGCTGTGCGCAGGGTGCAGGAAGGCCCAGGGGAGCTGGTCAAGACCATTAAGGCTTATTGGTGGCCACAGAACCCTGAAAAATAAAAATAATACCTAGGGAACAGGTATTTAGAGCAGAGTAAAGATATCTGAGAAGGAAGATATAAGTAATAAAGAAGTTTGGGTCTCTTGATGGAAGTCTGACATATGGGCGAAAGGATAGAAAGGAAAAAAAAAGGTAATGCAGCCAAAATAAATTTTGTCCAGGGGACCTATCATCAAAAAGTAGAACAAACAAGATGACTAATGCAAGCTTTTCATGTGACAGCAGCCATGGCATATTGTAAGTTAAGAGTGGAAGCTCTCTGATAAGCAATTGTAGTTGCTCAATCGTAATAGAATACCTATGATCAGGATAGCACATCAGTATAAACTTTTATAAAAAGGGATAAACTCAAATGCTTTGTTGAATCAGGGCCTTAAACAATTTAAAATAATCTTGAATTTCAGTTATGCGGTTATCTTTGATGTCATGTTGCTGAACTACCACAACAGTATTAATAGTAATATTACCTGGCTAATAGAGAAAACACTTAATCTAAACTTCCAAAGCATTATCTAAAAGATAATATATTATACTCATTTTTATGCTTGCAAAAACTGCTTCATAGAAAGTGCCTGGCACAAGGTCACAGGGAAAGCTGGTAGCAGTATTAAAGTCTGGGCTGAGTTTTGACTTGTGACTCTACCCAGTGAACATCTAAAATCTGTATAATCTGGCAGCTGGTGAAAGAGCTCTGGGGATTAGCAGTAGGATCTAGAAGAAACTTTTTGCCTTAGTCTTTGATTTGACTGTGACCTACCTAGGTAGTAATGGAAAGCTGCTACCACTGCAGAGCTCTTCAATGGCCTCTGTGAAATGTGTTGCTGGTATCTGTCCAGTTCCTAATGAACAGATTTCCTTTTAACAAAATCACCTGCACTTACTGTTACCTTCACTGGCAACCTCAATAAAAAAGCCAGGAATCAAATGGATGTGAAAAATGGACTATTCCATCAGGTCACGTATGATATGAATTTGTGGGCTGTGTTAGAAAGATTTATATTTTCTCTGCCATCAGTTTGGCATTTTTATGAGCCCTAAATTGTATTATTTTTTTTAATTAAACATATTTCTCAAACCTTCCTTTTATATTCATGTAGCAATAAAACTTCCAAATGCCTGAGAAAGGCATCACTGAAAAATGTAAAATGCATCAGGTGTGAAGCACTGATTGGTAATCACATAGAAAGAACTGATAACATGTGGTAGATTATGGTAAGCCAGCTGACTTATGCAAGAAAGCGTTGAGCCTACTGATATTTTTCAGTTTTTAAGGTAAAGGCACCATTAGAAAGCAACTTTTCCTTGTTTGTGATGAATTTTGTCTCATATGCTAGGGTAGAATGCATATGATGGTACTTGAATTTGTTGCAGTAGTTCCATTTTAAGCCCCCATGTCAGTGTTAAAAATAGTTCATAAAAGGAATTTCAAACATTTCTACCAGGATGAGAGGTGAATGTTAGCTCACTGAGGCAGTGGGATTTCCACTGATGGAAAATGGAGTAAGATGTAGCAGGTACAAAGCAGATATGACTGTAAAACGGGGAGGAATGGAAAGGACAGAAGAAGGGAAGGAATTAACTGAACAACTGGTTGAAGCTGTCAAATGAACTATCTGGGCATTTGCCAAGGCCATTCTGCAAGTCGAGGAAGTTGAGATCTCTCTTCTGGGATTACAGAAAAGGAGATAAGTATCCCATCCTGAATATATGGGCTTGACTCTGGCACTTGTGGGCAGACGGGAAATTCTTTGTGGTGCCACAGTAAAGCAAGCACAACTTTGATGAAAACAGAGAAAAACAGATCCATGCTGGGGAAGCTGTAAGCAGTATTTATGGAGCAATGGGGAGTTACTGGCAGCTGCAGGGAGTATGGAGCAGAAGCCATGCTACTTACACTGAAATTAATGCTCACAGCGGACCGTTGGATCAGCAGGGGTGAGATCAATGGTACTCCTAGTTTTCCAAGTGGTTGCCTGCTTGCAACAGCAGGGAGTAGGAGTGACATTACTCAAGTCCTGGGGTGCGTCTTGTTACTTTGAATGAAGAGATCTGCATCAGAATCCTGGACTCGGTGCACAAACTAATCAACATTTAGCTTCCCTTTGAGACAAGATCTGTTAGCTAGTGCACTGGCTATTTATAACAATTAATATTTTGTTCTGAGAGTGTTAAAGGGGATGTAAAATTTTGTTGCCTAAAGTGTGGTATGTTGATCCATGTCTGTTTTCCAAATGCAGGATTCATGTGATCTAAACCTCACCATCTAGTCTAAAGTAGTCTAGAAATTTTTTATTAGTCATTGAGTGAGAAAAGCACCTGCAGAGCACAAAGTATCTTAGATGGTGATAAACAACTAAAAGCAAAATAAAAAGACTGCTGTTAGAGTACGGTGTCTGTCTGTGTATATTCAATGTCAACTGCTAGTGATTGGAGACCATCTGGAGAGAACCTATAGCCCAGTTTAATGTGTACTGCTATAGCCATATCTGCTAATATATGCCTAAAAGGAAATAACCCAGTGAACACGGTGTTCTCCAAGTGCAAGAGGTTTGGTGTGTTGGCCATGACAGTGGTTGCCAATAGTTCCTTCAGATATGCAGGAACAGTCTTGTGTAGAGAGTTTTAAGCCTACAAATGTGTGCACAATTTGGTCCTAATTCAGCAGAGCACTGTGCCATGAACCTACCCTTAAATTTCAATCATGTTAAGAGTCCTGTAAGTCAGTGGAACCACTGATCTGCTCAAGCATTAGCCTGTGCTTATGTTTAACAAGAGCAGGTCTGCATATTCAGCAGAACTCAGTTCCTGCCCATCAACCTGTTGCTTTATTTTGTCAAAGGGCTTGGGAGCCACAAGATCTGTCGCCGAACCAGTACTCTAAGATATACTATAATATTTCTTTCTTTTCTCCCTTCAAATTATTTATTTTCCATCTTTAGTATCTTTGATATAAGCATGAGTGTCCTATTGGATGTAATTTCTTTTGCTTCAGGTTTTGGTTGCTTGCCAGTGATCATCTGGATATTCTTTCTGTTTCTTCTTCCACTTAAAAAAAAAAATCCTTTGTTCTTCATATGTCTGTTTGAAACAGTTTTTTCTTAAGATTATCCTTAAACTTAAGGGATTGTGAATCTACTTCCACAGATGTCTTGCTATGTTCATTTTTGTCTGTGAAGACTTTACACACATGCTGCTGCAGAGAAACAAGATACAGCTGAGTCAAATTTACTGGAGGAGGAACCACAGTGTTCATCTTCTGTGTTAGCCCTGTGACCTGTAGCATTCACAGCCTGGGTACATCACAGGGCAGTGGCCTGCCTGAAGATTGCCCTTTTCTACTAGGCTGGCCAGGGTGGAATTTCTTCTTGCTGATCTTGAAGCACAGCCGCCTCCTAACAGAAAACATACAGTTCTGTGCCAGAGAGGAGACAACAAAGTGTGCCAGTGAGGAGAGTGTAGACATGGGAGGGGGAGAGACTTGAATTCTGGTTTCTGCTCCATGGACTGATTATACACTTAGTTTAGTATAAAAAGGATAATATGCAGTCCAGGGGACAGGAAGCTTTAAATCTCAGCCTCCCTTCCTTCTGGAGAGGTTTCTTATCACTGGGCAGAGATCCCAGGTCCTTTGTTTCCCAGACCCTAATTCACTGTGCAACCGAAGTGGAGGAACTCAGCAGGGAGTCCCACTGCCACCATTCCAGAGTTGTCTTTATCCTGGTTATTTTTTTCCTCTCTGAGAAGGTAGGAGAGGTGCTTTTTAACTGTGGTTTGTGATAAACATTAGATGGGTATCCCCAGATGGGTATCTCACACTTGGTTGAGTGCTATGATAGGCAGTTGTTTGAAAGTGCCCATCCTTCAACGTGCTCTGTCATGAAAGTGGGAGAAGGCTGTTGTGTTTCATGCTAAACTTGATTTGACATTTTTTTACTAGCAAATTTGAGTCCATCTGCCTTACCTGTGATATTTTAAATGTTTGGGTTTTTTTAATTGGGACAAACCACCAGTGCTGCCATGTGCTGTCTAATGCTTCCGTTCTCCTTCAGTCTTTCTTGTCTATGCGTTCTCCCTGCCCCAGAAACCCAGGCAAACACAGCTCTGCAAGTCAGTGCCTCAGTGGCTCTGTTCGCCCCCTCTGCCTGCTGGGAACACCTCAGACCTATGTGGTTCAGTTTCTGGTTTAGCTTCCCCGCTGGCCTCCCTCAGATTCACACTGCAGTTGTTTCAGCTATCTGGTTATATCAAGGTGTTTGGTGTTTCTTACAACTCCCTTAAATGGATGGCAATTATATCTTACAATTGCAAAGTGGGCTTAACCCCAATCATTGCAGCATATTTCAAACCCTAAAAAAAAAATCTATTTCTGGAAAACAGACATACTTTTAAATGCTTGTGTGATCAAGGCATTTTCCAATTGTTCTCTTATTTTCTGTACTGCATTTAAGGACATTGACATCTTGACACTCCATGACAGAAGTTTACACACGAACACAGACACACACACACGGATGCATGCACACAAAGGTCTGCAGAATAGATTTTAAAGTTTCTATGTGCAATAAACAACAAAGTCCCAGTTGAAAGGGCCCAGAGTGAAAGCTGAGCTCCCAACAGAATTAGACTAAAAAAGATAACACCCTGAGGCATCTGTATGTCTCAGCATTTAAATTATATCCCTTGAAATATCAGTTTGGACTTGGTGCCAAGAAATGGTTGAAGAGCTTTTTCATTAATATACCCAATAGAAGACCAATCTGTTGAAATGAAATGTGTCTCTAATCATCTGGTATAAACATAACATGTTTTTACTTTATTATGTAACCTTGAATCATCTTTGTCTTTTAATGAGGATTTGGGATTGTTGCTAATGCTTTACAATTTCATGGAATTATATTGTCTTGGTGTTATGCTACAGGGACAATATGCACTAGAATTTGACTTTCTACTTATTTGAATGGATAAAATTATTTCAAGGTTTCTTTAAAAAAACATTTTGTTTCTTTATTTTTTTTTCCTTAAGGCTATGTGTTGTTGGTATAGAGATTCCATTCAAATTACTATAGTGGTGAAAAAAACTTTTAGCAGATTTCACTTTCTGAGTTGCTTGACAGTTCTTGTGTTCTTCCCTTCTTGATTTATAGGCTGTATTTTTTTTCCTTTTTAGGATTAGTGATTACATGGATCTGACCCCTGTAGATATAGTAGGAAAGAGGTGTTACCACTTCATTCATGCTGAAGATGTGGAAGGCATCAGACATAGTCACTTGGACTGTAAGTACTTCCATTTTTGTCAAAATAATCTAGTACAACACTTGATTGTTCCTGAGCTACTGTTTATTTCCCACGACTGGGGTCTTCATTTTGTGCCTGCTTTTTTTGTCATAGGGTTTCATAGAGGATGGCTCACGTATAATTTTTTGTATCATTTATTTTCAAGTTTTGTGTGGACATATAAGATTGTTCACATATGTGGAAATAAAAAAAATATATATTTGTATTACCAGAGTTTCCAGCAGCTGTTCATTTACACGTGCTGTGCATTATTTTACTCCTTCAAAGAGGTATTGCTTAGGTGAGAAACTCCCTCCCTAGCACAGAAAATGAACTCCTCTCTGTTTTTTATTTCTGAGTCATCATGTGGAGGACAAAACCAGCAACATATTTGGGATTTCATCGGGTTTTTCAATACAGAACTGAGCTACAGCTCTGCCAGTGTTTTAACCACCCCATGTATTAACAACTAAATGGCCCCCATCCCTGTAGCTTCTAAGTCCCTATTATTTGCACACAGGTAATATCTGATCAGGATAAGGATAACAGAAGTACAAAAATGTTACAAGAGACAAACCTTACCAGAGAACATGTGCATATACCTGTGTATGGGGGAAGGGAGGTTCAGCTTGATTCCTTGTAATTAAACTCTTTGTATTTCTCTTATTAAAAGCCATAGGGCCTAATTCTTTTATTGTTAAGATCTGTTGACTTCAGTGATGGTGCTCCTGATTTACCCTGGTGCGAAAAGAGACTTAGGCCCATAATCTCTAATTTATCTGTGCCTGCAGTGAAGCCAGATAATTCTTTGGAAGTTTCAGTGACTGACTGCGTTTATGATTGACTTGTGTGTTTTTCTTAATGTAAAAGACTATCTGCAAACTGCCTCTTAAATTCGGAGTCCCAGATTTTAATAACTCTGTTCCCCCTGCACCATGTCCTGCTAGCATTTCCTAGTAGAAGGGTACCAACCCAGATACAGCCACATTTAATGAGCTTTTACAACATCATATGGCTACAATAGAAGGCAATATAAATCTTCATTCAGAAAGTACCTTGCTTGATCTGCAAGGGAAGCCAGGAGGATAACTGCAGCTGGAAAGCAGGAGATCAGGGACAGCTTCTATGGTAATACATGGCAGCCAAGAACATTATCAAGCTCTGTAAAGCTTTCAAATATTCCCTGAAGTTTCTAGAAGGTAAAGTGCATTTGATGTAAGAAGGTCAGGTTAGATACATTTTGGTGGAAAAAATAAAATCAACTATCCAAAATGATAAACAAAGTAATTTTGCATCATTTACATTTTGAGTGTTTAATATCCAGGAGAGTATGTCAGTTGCTCAGAAACGAAGGAACAAATTCAGAAACTTACTTGGTGCTCTTGAAACTGGAAGTCAAAAATGACAAGTTGCACTTCCACTGCACTATCTGACCAAGGAAATAAAAGATATTTATGACTCAGACTTAACATACCACCTGGCAGAGATGAACATCCCATTTGAAAAAGACCTTAATCTTCTGAATGACCACTTCTCTCTGAAATAGAATATGCTTTATGAAACATTCATCTTCAGAAAACTCAAAAATCTATGCAGAAAGTATGAGTGCAGTGTGGTCCAGTGTATAGGTACTGGACTAGGACTCAGGAGATCCTGGAAACAGGAATGACTTACAGAAAATCACTTCAACTTAACGTGTTCCTGCTCTCACTATAGGTCGCAGTTTAGCCGACTGGATTGCAAGCTTTATAAACGCAGGGACTTTCTCCCGTTATCAGCATCCAGCACCGTGGTGTTCTAAACTTGTCTGTGTGGCTATACCATAATTATTCTTGCTAAGCTAATTTTTTTTCATAGATGAGTCTGGTTATATCTTTCATGTATAGTTGTTCTCTTGGCTTATAGGACTAAGATGTTCATAGAATCATACAGGATGGAAGGGACTCTGGGACATCATCTGGTCCCACCTCATGCACAAAACAGGATCAATGCTGATTCAAAGCAAGTCGTTTAGCACTTTGTCTAGTTGATCATGAAAATGTTCAAAGTCAGACTTTCCACAACTTCTCTGAGTGGACCGTTTCAATTATCCTTAATAAGGGCTTAATTACCCTCACAGTGATTTTTTTTTCCTTCTATGCCTTGGAATTTCTCTGTTTTGATTGTGTAACTCATGGCTCCATCTTTGCAGTAACTCCCTCACAGGTATGCTGTTAGGTCCCCCTCTTCTTCAGGCTGAACAAGCCTGGTCCCACAGCCTTTCCTCACAGGGCAAGTACTCCAGCCCCAACCATCCTGAAAGACCTCTGCTAAGCTCACTGGAGTTTATCAATATATTTCCTGTGCTAGGACCATAAAATCAGATTCCAGATGCAATCTAAAGAGTGATGAGTGAAGGGGAATAATGACTTTCTGTGATCTGCTAGCTAGATGCTTATTAGTACAGCCCATAGAGCACACTGCTGATTCATGCTTAGCGTACCATCCACCAGAACCCCCAGGTCTTTTTTCGCAAAGCAATAACACAGCCAGTCAGTCCCCACCTGTACTACTGCAGGGAATCAGTCCATCCCAAGTACAGGACCTTGCATTTGTTTCTTCATGTTGTTCAAACTCAAGCTCTGGATGAAAAATCTTCAAATTTATATTAGACTTGGGAATAGCTCAGAAAGTATACCTACCCATTATAACTCCTTCAGAAGCTCAAGTGGTTCATATCTTTGCCCAGAGAGATGCTCCACTTTTCTAGCATTCGGAAGAAAACTTTGTAGAAAAACCAAGAGAAAGAAATTGCAAAACCCCAGAACACTTCATAACAACTTGTCCATCCTAGAAAATCGACTTCAAACAAAACTAGAAAGAGAAAATCCTCCTGGTTTGGTGAAAATAAAATTAGAGCTAAAATTCAGGAACTTGCAAACACTGGCTGTAGAATGCAAAACCCAGCAGAACTTCTTAGACAAAAATAGACAATGCAAGAGATTTGCCAGTGCAACACAGGAAATAATTGATTGAGATTGCAATAAAAAAAAAAAAAAAGCAATATTATGCAACATTTTGGAGAGGATCTGAAAGCTAAAGTAATGGTTAGAAAGCCCTACTGAAAAGTAGAAGCAGGACTTGAGAAAGCAGCAAAATGAAATGGTTGCGTTTGATGGAGGACTGCAGAATGCAGCTAAAAATCTTGATTGATTTTTACAGGAGAGAAAATAATTTTTAAAGACTAAAGCAAGAAGAATCCCAAATTGCAATGGTAGATCTAAGGGTAAAAAGAAGCACAAATAAAACTGATACTCTGCCTATTCTCTGCCAACATACCAGAAAAAAAATGGGAAAAGTAAGACCAGTGCATCCTGCCTTCTCATCCAGGTTACTCAAAGACCTCAAAGAAGAAAACAGGCAAAAAAAGAAAATGTTGCACAAAATCACACAGAAGAAATCAAGAGGGCTGTTGATGGCTTCAGATCATAGCAGCCCATTAGAAACTTTGAAAAGCAGGTCTTCTTAACACTGTCTCAGATAAAAGAAGACAAAAGCAGTTTCAGGAATGTGACCTTAACAAGTATAATGGTGAAGAAGGTCTGCAGGACTATAGCAGTGACAACAGTCTTTTGTAAGGGAACTGCTGCCCTAATGAAAGGTCAGTTACAGTCAATGGAAAAGCTTTCATTGGCTTCAGTGGACATAGGGATTATACCCTAAAAAAGCAAATTTATATGGACTAAAATTCTGGCCCCAGTGAAGTAAATAGCAAAAATTCCATTAGGTTCAGTGAGGGCAAGATTTCTACTTAGACATTTATGTTAGTTATAGCTTGATGCCCTTGTGGATTAATAAAATAACATTCATACTCTAACTGTACATATGCCTGCCTTTATTCCAATGCAATAATACGTGGTGGTAATCCCACAAGTTAATGAAGAATCAATTTTTTTTCAAACAGAAATAAGAAGTTTAGGGATAATTTTTCCATCTGGTTTCACTCAGGCTTTCAGTGATCCTGCTTTTTCACAAATCTCTCAGCCAGTTGTTTGGTGTTACAATTCTACCTTATTAATCTGTTTCCCATTTTATAATGCTTCATGGTTTCACAAATTTGGGAAACTTCTCATTTTTTTGTCTTCACCGTGTTTGTTGAACAAAATGCTTGTACAATCTTGACAGATATCACTTGTCATAAATCGAGTCTCTCTCACAGAGATTACAGTTAAAATGTTCTCTAGTCTCACAGCCTGTACAGTATCGAGCATCATGGCTCAGCTGTTGGCTCAGTTGACACACAGCAACTGGCTAAACTGCAACAACTTGTATTTGAATTAGAGCCCTCAAAAACTGCAGGTCTAGCTGTACCCTGGCTCAGATACAGTCCCTAATACTAGCTCTGTGTAACAGAGCTCTTTGTTAGGTTATGTGGCATGAAAGAGTTAAGTTGAATGTTTCATATTTCATAGTTATGCATCTAGAGCTGACACCCTAGAAAGACCCCTCTTGCCCCCAGTTCTACTTTACCACTTGTAAGAATGGGGAAGGTGATCAGATCCTAGATCCTCTCTTTTTACTTACCTCTGTGTAGAAACATTGCAAGGCTGAACTGCATGTCAAGCATAGGGCAGTTCATACACTCTCACCAAGCCATGAGTACCTGCATGGGTAGCACTTGATCTTGTTCCCATGACAAGAAAATATCCCTGATCTTAAAGCTAGCAGGATACAATTTATGTCGAATTAATATCAGAAATCAAGCAGATTAATAAAATCACTGTTGTGTCAGGTCTTAGCATTGTCTGTAGAGCTCAGCAAGGGCATTTGACACTTGCTGCTCTCTGGAGTATGTTGCTATGCATATGTGCTTCTCCCTTTGGTTGACACAGTTATCATGCACAGGTCTGTAACATCCCTTTTTGATTTAAGAAATACATTTCTTGCTAAGAATGAATAGCTGTTATATGCTGTAGGAGTATACATCTTCCATTTAACTGAAAAAAATTAATGATCTTCAC